ATAACCTAATGGTGTAGCATTGACAAGTGCATCCTGAGTGTACACTTTAGGGGTAAGTTGTCTGATAAACTGAGTAACAGATCCTGAGTTACTGAGTGCATCGTTCAAATCAGATTCTTTAATATACACTTCGTACGGTTCTTGCAACTTAACCGCCTGCAAACAGAAAGACAAAGTTAGACATATGCAAAACAGACAAAGCAGAAAGTAAACAACTCTTATAAGGAAACTTACGCCTGGTGTGGTAGCACTGCACAGGTAGTTGCATGGCTCATAAATCTTGGAGTTCCTCTTTTGGGCTGTGACCCTTCGTTTCTTGCCTCTAGACTTCCTTTTCCTCCTAGAAGACTCAGAGCTGTCTGAAGAAGAGCTGCTTGAGGAGCTGCTACTATCATCCGAGCTGGATGAATCACTAACATGCCTTCCCGATTTCTTTCGATGACGCCTCTTCTTTCTATCTTCAGACTCCGAGGAACTATCAGATGTGGACCTCTTGCGTGATCTCTTGCTTTTCTTCGACTTCTTGTGGCTGCGACCCTTTCTCTTTCTCATTGGAGATTCGTCACTGGAATCATCTGAATCATGGTTCTTGATGAACTTCACATTCTTATCTTCACATATGGGCTCAGGAAAGACAGGATCAGTACCACCTGAGGCTTGCCCGGCAGCAATAGTTGCTGCAACAGACTGCTCAATATTCAAATTTTTCAGGGTAGCTACTTGGTGAGAGTCCTGCAATAAAAACAAATTAGATATAAATTACGAAATTCAAATGTAAATTAGATAAAGGTAGATATAGCTGTAGGTTGCCAAGGATCGTACCGAAGTGGGCTTGACATCACTGCTGACACTAGAGGTATCACTTGCGCCATGATCAAGATCACCGCCATGACCATCACTCAGCTGTTCACTCTTGATCATTGTTCCAGCAACAATAACACCACCAGCCTACACAAAAAAAATAAAAAAATAAAATAGGATGTGATAACAATGATGAAGGTGATAGGGCATTATTCTAAATGCATCAAGTTTACCTCAGGTGACGACTGTGCTGCCTGCTGGCTGAGCTCATTCTCAGTTGCTTGAATGGCCGCTTTCTTTAAAATATCTTTCGCCTTCTTCTCAGACTTTTTCTTCTCCTAAACCAAAGAGCATAAAAGAAGCGAATAAGAAAAACAGCTGATACTACATATGGCAAATGGTCCCATACAGGATGTGTCCATACCTTCTTTTCTGCATTCTTGCTACTAGTCTTAGTACGCGACATTTCTTTCATAAAATCTCTCTGCTTGAGAGCGGCTTTCCTTGGACGATCACTGTGGAAACTTCCTTCTTTCTGCTCCTTTCTAATGCCCTTTAAACGTGTAATTTCTTGATCAACTGAAGCCTCTGATTCTGCACGAACAACCAAATTTTTATTACCACAAACTAATCATCGTTGCACTGACTGAACTGAGAATGAGACCGTTGACTTTGAAACCGGTAAATAAGTTCAAAGCAAAAAGACTACCAATAGTTGCAACAGTGATTGTGAAAAACCAACAGAAAAGGATTTGCTTAAAAAGAATGTTAGTTGAGGAAAATAACCTCCACGTGGCTGCCTAAAAATCTAGTGATCAACTGGACTTATCAGCCCAACGTGCACGCTCACAGAAAACGTTAGGACGGAATTGATGAAAATTAACTTGACTGTTAAAAACTGACCGACAAATTGACTTTACGAAATACCCTCGGTGAAATCCCAAAGATCGAGAAAGTCTACAAGAGCAATGCAAAATACTTCGCAACACTACGGGTTCAAGGGACCT